AGTCATTTATAAATATTTATTTCTGGAAAAAGAAAGAAAGAAAATCTTTTCATGAATATGTCTCAGAGAGGTGTTATTTGGGGGAAAAAAAGGCCTCAGTCTTTTTTTATCAACATTAAATAGAGAAAATAAAAAATGCTTCTTGTCCTTTTTCTTCTGTAATTTATGACAATGTTGATCAGACCTGAGTCTCAAGTAGTCCTCTTACTTGTGTAAAGTGCAATAGAGTCATGAGCAAAATCTTCTGAGAAACGTTTAAAGTTTGTGCAAAAAATGTAAAGTCATGCACTATGACAAAACTATAGTAACTGTTCATAAGGAGAATTGAATGAGAGAAATAACAGGAAAAAAGTTTTAGGAAGGAAGGCTTATAGTAAGAAACAATGTTGAAAGCTACAAGTACCTCTTAGAAGCATAGATAAGTGGGAAGAAGTTCACTTTTGAGTAATTCTTCACCAACTATTTAATAGCAACAATTCTTTCTACTGATGTTCACTGGAAGGTCAAAATTTCAATACTGCATAATGCTGAATATTGGTAGGAATTCAGGACTAAATATTCCAACATGTAAATTGAGGCAATGTTGCCCCTCAAGTGCCTACCTCCACTGCACACCATCACCTTCTGGAGTCCTTGAATCCAGACTGGTGCCTTGAGAACATACAGTATGAAATGAGCTACAAATCAAAGCTGCAGGAATACTGAATAATCAGGAGAGAGAGAAATGCTCAATAAGAGTGGACTCATGCTTAAAAAGGATTCATGCTTGGTTAGAAGTAGGATGTCTCTTGGCCATGAGAATGACTGTAACACAGAGACAGGAGGAGAGCCTGCATTCGTATTCCTGAAGAAACCCATATCAAGAAGCTATTCTTGGTCAGCAAGCAAAGATTTTCAGAGTAGATTGTTGTTAGACACCAGACCAGTTATTATTGGGTCAGAAACAACTTGTGGGCAGTGTGTGTCTGAGTGTGGAGGGGGAAGGGGTGGGTCAAACCTCATGGAGGTGGGGTGGCATCGTGTCTCTCATGGCAGCCCCTGGGACCCACACAGGGAAGGCCTGGAGTGGCTGTCAGTTACCAACAGCCCAGGGAAACTATAACACCCCACACCTCCTGGAACCCCTCACCCAGCTCAGATTGGCAGGGACAGTGAGGACACTGCCCCTCACCCCAGCCTGGAACCCCAGAGTGGCTGGTGGGTCAGAGACCCTGACTGGAGGGGTTGGCCACAGGGACCAGAGTAGATAAAACCAAAGGCATATGTTTGCCTTGTGTCATGGCCCTGCCATTGGACTTGTGAGAGCTGGTCTTCTACAAGGCTTCGGTGGTAGCTGCATAATCTGTCTCTTTCTCCCTCTCTCTTCTTGATCCCTCTGCTTCTCTTTCTTTGCTCCTTTCTTGATGCTTGGGCTGGTTTGGAGTTGGAGGGATTTAATCTTGATTTAAGTGTTGTGGAATTGGTTGGATTTTGCCTTAAGTGTTGTTGGTGTATGGGATCTTGATTTAAGTGTTGCTGGTTTACTGGATTTTGACTTAAGTGTTGTGGATTAATAGTATATGCTGAGTTAGTATTGCGGTGGAACATTTTGTCTAGCTTGTGTGGTGTCCTTTTGAATTGTGGCCAAGTCCCCTTATGTGCTCCCCTAAATTAATAAAAAAATTCTTTGGGAACACGCCTGTGGTTTATTCTCTTGATGATATCTTGAGGTATTAAAGAACCCTATATCTATATATTAAAGTAAAATTCCTAGGCAGTCCTGTGAGCTGGTAGCTCCTGGGGCCCAGAGTTTTACAATTGTCTACACTGTATATCATCCTGTATATCATCTTCTCCAAGAGGTTTTCTTTTTCAGTTCAAAGAGCTTAAGATTCTCTGAGGATCATGTCTGAGTTTACCACAATAGTGATTTCAGTGTGATGGCAAAGCTATGTGTTGCATGCCACAGTGTTTGACATAGCAGTGTGTCAGTGGTGCTCAGTGGTCCAAAGTCTGTGTGCAGTGTGTTGGGGGGCTGTGAAAGCCAGAGTCAGTCAAGCCCAATACACGAAACATACAGAGTGCTTGAAGGACTAAACAGTACCTAGAACTGCAACCAGATTCAAACTCTAAGGAACCCAGTTGCTTCACCCAAAGAGTAGACCTGCAATGAAGTGGTATACATTATTTTTCAGAATGGAATTTCACTTCACATCTGATTAATTTCTTTTCAAGATATTGGTATGTTTCAAACACATTGTTTAGCTATGTTTTTCCAAGTCTATTGTTAGTCTTGTGTCTTCTACCTCCAGCTCACCTAGCTTGAAGATATTTCATCTTCAGAATTTTTTCCTCACTTCCTTTTTTTTCTTCATTTTTATTTTGAAGAATGAACATCTGGCTAATAATGTTCAAGCTTTCCATTAGCATTCAGTGTAAATGTTATTCCACATTTATACTGAAAAAAAAAAAATCTCTCCTCCAAACCAGTTAAAACTGGTGAAAATAAGTCACTTAACAGTAACACAAACATGCATAACTAACCTTTTTACAATACAGAGTGTGAGAGAATGGAAATAACAGAAGCAAGTCATACAATCCAGTTTTGAATTTTTGACTTATTGAGAGATTCAAGATTAGCTGAAAAAAACCCTATTTATTTAAAGGAAAAAAATGAACCTTTTAAATGCAGGTTATGGGGTCAGTATAACAAATGGATGCCAATTACCAACAACATATTAGTTACCGTGAGACTCAGTCAGTTTGCTACAAGTAAGAAGAAATTAATATAATGTAAAAATTAAACTAATTTTTTTGTGCAGTTAATGTATCATCTTCCCTTGAAAGTATTGGATTTGAAAGTATTCTTTTGGGGTAGCTTTCACTTCAATGAAAGAACAATACTGTCTTATTCTTAAACATAAATACTTAGTACAGAGTAAATTAAGCTAGTTTCTTTAACTCTTTTCCCATATATATCCTCTGAATTTAAATGTCAGATTACTCGTCTTGGATTGCATGAACACCCTCAGAAACCCACTATAGTCTCCTCAGCTCAGAGCTGTTAACTTGAGAAGGTGGTAGAATTGAGAACAGTTCCAAAACTGTGGTTAACATGTTCAAACTTATGCAGAAGTAAACCCAAACTTAGGTATCACAAGACTTGCTTTCTAGAGGTTGACATGAAAGTGAGTTAATTCATCATATGCTATTATTGAAGTATTGCAGTTGCTTCTGGCTTTGTCAATAGATGATGGTAAAAAAAAAGGCAAAAAAAGAAATCTGTCTTTATGCTATACTACATTATAATTATACCGTAAATGAGTTACACCTTTATTCCTATATAAAGGGAGTGGCTTGGATTTATATAATATTTGTTTTGTAGCACAGTCAGACCCAAAGATTTTGGATTCACAGAACCACAGAATGGTTGAGGTCGGAAGGGACCTTTAGTGATCATTTGGTACAACCACACTGCTGAAGCAGGGACACCTAGATCCAGTTATTCAGGAACATGTTCAGATGGCTTTTTAATATCTCCAAAGAGAGACATTTCATAACCTCTCTGTGCCAATGCTCAGTCACCATAGAAGTAAAAAAGTGTTTCCTGAGGCTCAAAGGGAACCTCCTGTGTTTCAGTTTGTGTCCATTGCCTCTGGTCCTGTCACGGGACACCACTGAAAGAATGCCAGTCCCTTTCTCTTTACAGCCTCCCTTCAGATATTTAGATACATTGACAAGATTTGCCCTGAGCCTTCTCTGCTCTAGAATGAAGAGTCCCAGGTGTCTCAGCCTTTCCTCATAGGAGAAATGCTCCAGTCCCTTGATCATCTTTCATTAGTCCTTCATTAGACTCTCTCCAGTATGTCCATGTCTCTTGTACTGAGGAGCCCAGAAGTGGACACAGATTCCAGGTATGGTCTCAACAGTGCTTAATAAAGGGTAAAAACACTTCCCTTTATCTACGGGCATCACTTTCCTTAATGCAGCCCAGGATTACATTCACTGTCTTTGCTGCAAGAGCACACTATCTTGTTTGTCTTTTAGTCTGTAATAAGTAGTATCTTCTTCTCTCTCAAAAACAAACCCTCATAAGTCTAATTCTCCATGACAAGAAACTTAAAATTCTTAAGCAATTTATCTATCTTTATTATGGTTTAATTAAAATGGTATTTAAGTGTGGAAGGAATATCTGGTCAAAAAGAGAAACATTATACTAGAGGTTCCTGAAATATTGAGAGAATTGTCTAGAAAGGAGGGAACAGAAACTCCCAAGTTCCAGAAAGAACCAGATATAGTGCAAGAAACCTTTTCTAATCCTGAAAATTAAAGACATTTCAAAATTCAGAGGGAAAGAAGTCCTTTTTTTAAACTGGCATTTTTCTCACAGACTTGAAGTGGTGCAAGTCTAATCACTCCTCTCCTACTCTCATCTATATTGTCCTGTGTTATCATCACTCACATTCATTATACTCTGAAAGCTAAGAATAAGCCATGATCGGCTTGAATAAAAGCAGACAGCATGATATTCAGCTATTGGTTCTATTTCGAATGCTAATGAAACATTCAGCCAAGCCTACAGAGATGAAGAGCAGTTGGCTCAAGATAAGACTAAGAAGAGATATCATGATTTAACCCCAGTTGGCAACTTAGCCCCAAGCAGCCACTTGCTCACTCCTAGCAGGGAGAAGGCCCAGGAAAAAAAGTAGTAAACCTTGTGGGTTAGTATAGGAACAGTTTAATAACTGAAACAAAGTAAAATATAATATAATATCAATAATACTAATTATAATAATACTCATGGCTAGGCTTCGCGAACAAAGATTTGGGAAGAGCTCTAGCCACGTTTGTTACAAATGTGCTGGTGGCTAAAGAGGCCAATACAAGATAGGCACATCCGGTTGCAAAAGGCACAGCAGAAAGACTCCTTAGGTGATGTATTCTGCAAGACATGATTCTTTCTGCGCGTTGTCTTTTCTCCTCAAGAGTGACCCTGCATGCTTTCTCAAAAGCATCAGCAGTGTTATAGATAGTGTGTCTCCAGACCTCCCGATTGGAGGCCAGAGTAGACCAGTTATGTTGATCAATATGGCCAAGGTTGAGGTGTTGTTTCAGGGATTCCTTGTATCTTTTCTTCGGGGTTCCTCTCATGCGGCAGCCGGTGGCCCCCACTACTTGCTGGCTATTCCAGCTCAAAGTTTGCTGCCAGATACACAGGCACACCCCATGCGCACCAGCTGTGGGGAAGGTACAGACATTTGTCCCTATCAGCCAGCACCAGGCCCACAGGCTTTTACCCATGGTCCTACCTACTCCAGTTGCAGTAATTGAGCCTCTCACTCACTTGCCCTGGTTTCTGTCAGTAGCTGAACCTGAGATTTCCACTCACTCCAGTAGTTGACATTGCAGTCCAGGGGCACCTACAATGCTAATACCTCTCTGTTACTATACCTTCTATTGTGACATATATTCACACTCTGCAGTTAGTGCATTCATCACTGGCAATCCTGAACCTTCTTCCCTGTTGTTTCAATAAACTGTGTTATCTGTTACTCTGGATTGTGTAAATTCTTATTGAACTAGGCCAGACCTATAGTATTGGCTTGGTAAATTGTACAATGCGTGAATCTAGGATCACACAAGTACATATTGAACACCACCAGACCCACAGTGTTGAAACTGCACTATTTGTGAATCTGGTCTCGTGAAAGTTCTTATTGAACATGGCCAGACTGATAGCACTGAAGTGGCTATAATCAGAAATTAAGCCCAGCCACATCCAGCCCCTCTGATCTCTGAGGTCTCACTGGATTGCAATGGGGTTTATTTTCTGCCAAATTTCTATACCCTTAATGAAACAATGACATGCTCAGGAAAATTTTGGCATCTCCAACTGTGGATGCTGAGAATCTACTTGTTCCAATTGCTGACACCACAGGTCTGGGGGCACCTACATTTCCTGTCTGACTTCTGTTAGTATTCCACATGCACTCACACTAGTCTCCCAAGTAGCTAACATTTAGTCCTACAAACACTCCTACACCAGGTAGAGAGTGAGTCTGTTTCATTAAATACCACAATATATATTTGACCATTTGCCGAATGGTTTTGTGTGAACATGAATTAAACTTTCTCTACCAATTAGAAAACTGAAAGAAAAATTAAGATGATTTTTAAAAGGATTAAAAATCACACTATGCAAAAAAACCCCAACTAAGCAAAACCAAAGCCAAACTAACAAAAAAACCCAAATCATCAATTTCAACACTAATTACTGTAACACAATATTTGGGGCTTTTTTTTGATAGGATGGTCAGTCACATATTTGAATGTATTTCTGTATTGAAAGAGAAAACTGAATTTTATATATACTTTCTAATTTTATTTTGACTTTATAGTTTTTAAGGATAGGCTTACACACAGGTTTATATTTGTACAGAAAAGGTTTTACATTATTACAAATCTTGGTATGTATTCCTGGATAAGAGACAAAACATACTACTGAGATTTAGTCTTTCTCTGATTTAATCTTGTGCTAGTCTAATTTCAAACATCAGCATTTCTATATAGCCTGAAGTCTTACAAGGATTGATAAAAACCTCTCATTGACAAAGGATTACAATAGTAAATATTTTATGTGATGAAGACCTGAACTAAAGATTCTATATCTGTTAGGGATAATAATAAGGATGAACAAAGCCTTAACACAGATGTACAAAGCCCCCAAAAGGAAGAAGCAGCAAAAACAAAGCAACAAAACAGCAGTATTTTTCTTTAAATGCTAACAGTGGACCATTAAATACATTGAGAAATGAATGAATGTACCTGAATTTCTGCCTTTGATATTAAATGACAAAATAAAACCCTAATGATGCTCAATGGAACTTCTTATGAGAAAATGAAAGTGGTTAATAGTTGTGGGTCAGAGCAGATCCAAAATTATGCTAGGTTGCTTTTAGTTAACTTTGCAAATAGTGCCATTTATGTGGAAGAAATATCTGAAAACACATGGAATGCCAATTATATGCAGTATTTATTATGCCTTACTGCATATCAAAATACTATAGATGAGAATAGTTAAGGTAGATTTCCTACAGGTAATAACAATATGCTGATATGCTTCCCTTCTAGCTGTTTTATTCCCTAGCTCAGATGCCTAACTCTCCTCCAGTCACTGTCTGAAGACCTTTGGCCATTTACCTCTACAGCATGATTGATCTTGGAAGTTGTTCCTGTAGTGCTGAACACTGTGGTAGGTAGTCCTTGTATCAGTACCCAGCATAGTTTTTAAAATCTGCCTCAGGAAGTTCATTGAAAATCCAATGGACTTAGGCAACTTTGAAAATGTTATCTACTAATATTAAAACATTGCAATTGTATTTGAATGAAAAGTAGGGAGAAAAACTGGGGTTTTATAAGTTTACAACAGAGAATTTTGTGAAGATGCAGTTCTAGATGAGTGTTAATATGTCTGGGGAAATTTTTGCCCTCATATCTTGAGGTGTTTCACTTATGCTTAGAGGCAAAGATGGAGAATTTTTCTGCTCCTAGTACCAGGCCAGGAAGCCATTAGACCAGAAATTTCAAGTTAACTAAATATGTTATTTTATACAGAATTCATAGTGTGTACCTCACCCTAAATGAAGTATGAAGGTTAGCTACCATCAGAGTTTCAATCCACTGGAGTACACTGAAGTTTGCAACTCGTAAGATTTGCTATGTGTCCAAATCAGTCAGTTGTATATTCAAGGATAATCTAATGGAATTACACTAGCAGTGTTCTTGGCAATGGTGGAATCCCAAGACAACTGGCTATGGCACCTTTCCTGCTGCCTTTCACTTTGAGGGCAGGGAAGCATTTGGCATTAACATGTTTTGAAAATATTTGTCTCGACTACAAAGTATTTCCTGACATTTCCAAATGAAATACATTATTTTTAGCCCTTAAAACATACACAAAAAAAGAAAACATTACTATGTGGTAAGTAATTTTCAATTTGTTTTACCTAAAGAAGGAAAGAAGTAGATAAACATGGAGGATGGGAAAGCAAACTGTTTCAGGACATAAAGTTTTAACTTTGAGTATTAGGTACCATCAGATTAATAAACATGCAATGAACATATAACAAGTCTGTGTTTCTTAGAATCATCTATTTTTACCAAGTCCTAATGCAGCAAAACAAATACACAGTTTTTAAGAAACCAGTAGGACACTGTACATGAGTTGTTTCGGCAGCGCTTGAAATTCAGCTAATTAGTTTCAAAAGTCAAAAAACCCCCACCAAAACAAAACACTCACACCTAAATACTGGCAAATTGATTAAGACATAATCTTCCTATTAAAATCAGAATTCACAGAACAGAGGACAAATGTAGTCATATTAACAGCAAGCAGTTCTGCAGATGAGTAAGCTACGAAAAATCTTATCACTGATATTGTTGTAGAATAGGTTCAGCTGTGAAGAACAGTCATCAAATCAGGTGATTTGCAGATTCCATTCTTCTGTGAGTATTAAGATCTCAAAGCCACTTCTATTTTGCTATGGGAAAGAGGACAGTGAAAGCTGCACTTGAATTTGGTGATTTGGACTGCTTTAAAGTTTACTTAAAGAATAAGACAATCTTTAGGAGAATAATTAAGCCTAATAAGCAACTTTTAATAACTACTGATGCCACTAAGAAAGGAACGAGACAAAGAAATTGTGAAATGGTGCTAGGTATTTAAATCATTGTACTGGATCAGAGATTTGTCCACTTAAACTAATGCATTGTCTTTCTAAAGACGTTTCATACCAGATGCTATCTAGGAAGTGAGAAAAAACCCTTTAGTGGGCAGGTACAGTACAAGACTTGTATACATTTTAGTTTTGACGGTCTTATTTTATGAAGTTAAAACATGTTTTTTTTATGAAAATCCAATCTTAATACAACACCCTTTTTGACTTAGCTCAATTCTATCCATATAGCATATAAATCTGAGCTCAGAGTTAACAATTCTCTGACTTATAACTGAAAAAAAATGCTAAACATAGTATTGTTTACAAGACTGTCATAACCATGAAGTCCTGCATCATTTATTCCTCTACCTTTAAAAATTAATCTTTGCCTGTTAGTAAGCACAGATCATTGTCTCTTGCTGAAACAATAAAGAAAATGTAAGAGCGAATCTTATTACATTACCCATTCTAAAAAATGTGACTCTGTAGATATTATTTGTCTTTTGACCTTGTCTACAGCTTATGCTAGTTCTGGCAACACTGTGAAGTAAAGAGCGCTTTTCAACTTTTAATAAAAACAAGCAGTATCTGGGATAGTTAGGGAAAAGCTTATAATGCTTCAAGACATCTCATGTTTGTTTTATGTTAATTTTGAAATCTCTTAAGTTGGACAGTGCTGAATTGTTAATAAACACTTGCAGTGGGTTTCTGTAGCTGGGGTTTGGTAGTGGGTGGGGCTACAAGGGTGGCTTCTATTAGAAGCTGCTAGAAGCTCCCCCTGTTTGGTGGAGCCAATGCCAGCTGGCTGCAGGATGGACTTTCTGCTGCTGGCCAAGGCCAAGCCGATCAGGAGTAATAGTAATGCCTCTGTGAGGCACAGAAAGAATTCCAGCCAGGGAAGAGCAGAGTGAGAACATGGGAACAACAATGCAGACACCAAGGTCAGTGCAGAAGGAGGGTGGATACCCAAAGGAGGCTGTGACCCTGTGGGAGGCCCAAGATGGAGCAGGGTCCTGCCAGAGACCTGTAGCCTATGGAGAGGGAAGTCCACACTGGTGCAGGTTTTTCCCAGGTAGGACTTGTGGCCCCTGTGGGGGACCCATGCCGGTACAGCTCATTCGTGAAGGACTGCACTCCATGGAGAAGTGACCCACGGGATAGCAGTTTGGGAAGAACTCTTGCCTGAGGGATGAACTCTCGCTGGAGAGGTCCATCAAGGACTGTCTCCTGTGGGAGGGACCCCACGGGAGCAGGGTAAGGACTCCTCTCCCTGAGCAGCGGCAGAAACAACAACTGACCGTAACTCCTGTTCCCTGTCCCCCTGAACTGCTGGGGGGGAGGAGGGAGAACATGGCAGGAAGAAGGGGTGGGGGGAAGGTGTTTTTAATATTATTTTATTTCTCAGTCTTTTGCTCTTATCTTGTTAGTAATAAATTTAAATAATATCCCCACTTTGAGTGGTAATCAGTAACTGACCTCTCCCAGCTCTTATCTCAACTCATGAATCCTTAGCTGTTTTTTTTTCTCTCCTCTGTCCGGTTGCAGAGGGAGAGTGAGAGAGTGGCTTTAGTTGGTACCTGGCATCAGGCCAGGGTCAACCCACTACAGCACTGCTTTAGCATGTTGCCACTCTATATCTTATTACCCATCTGATCTCAACCAGATCATTTTCCTCTGTGTCTCAAATACTGTTTTTAATTTTGTTAATTTGTTTACTTTCTGTCTTTATATTACCATTGGCTCTTTTTAAAAATTATTGTTTATCATAGATTTTATTCCAATTTATATTCTTGCCTTTTTTTCTCATAAGCCTGCCCAAGCTCAGTAGAAAAGATGGTATGTATGACACATATACAAAGATCATAAATTTACCTCAAACAGCTAGTAAAAGGCTGTAGAACCAGGGAAAAATGGGACTGTGATTAGGTGGTTAAAGAGATCATAACTGTTAAATAACTGTTAAAGCTTTTCTGTTTCCCTCTTGAAGTTTGTGTAGGAGTTTAATCAAAAATTACCATTTAATTTTTTCCTTCTCAGATTTTCCCAGAATCTTTAAAAAAAAAAACGTAAATCAGTATTCTGGGAATTTTCACCAAGTTTCTTCCTCACTGTGTTTGCCTCTCTTTTGACTACTAAATTATACCAGAATGAAAAACATCTAATTTCGTGGTTGTTTTCTCTAACAATTAGTTTTCTTCCTTTTTTTCCCTCCTTCTTTACCTAGTGTTTTATAACACCCTTAGTAATAAAATGGAATAGGCAATAAAAAAATGTACAAAGACACCCTCCCCATTTTTTTGATGACACTCATTTTATTAGCCGTAGCGGCAAGAAAGTTTCTAAAGTTATCTTATATACATAAGCAATAAAATTATAAAGATACTGCTTTGCTATCGTAAGAAAAATAAAGATCTACACTGATTTCTAAAAGTATGTCTGGAATATTAATGAGTATAATTTTCTTACTAAAAATACATACTAAAAATACATAATCAAATTATTTTAAGAATCTTTGACATTGTTTTGTTTAATGAGAAGAAGTAGAAAAAATTCAAAATAATTTTTGGATTCTGGTTTGTTTATATACTTTTTGCATACTTTTTAGTGAAGAGATAAACTGATTTGCAAACATAGCTGATTCTAGGCTATTTTTTCTTTTTTTTTTTCCTTGTTCTTTGAAGAGTTGATTCCAGCTGTGTTTGCCTCAGGTTAGAATGAACTTGACATTGTTTCTGTTAATGTTTTACTTTTATTCTTGTTCTACTCATGACATGTGTTAGAAATAAGATTTATTCATCGGGAAAAAAAAAGAATAAATCAGGTTACCTCACTCCTTGTTTTCATAAGCATCCTTAATAATCTTCCAGAGGATACATTTCCCAGCAGGCCGTATTGCAGTATTACTTTGATATGTTATCAGTAACTTTGTGTTTTGATTCTGTTATGTTATGTGAAGGAAGCTTCTGAGCATACACACAGTCTCCTTTGATATTAATCTAAGCAACTGGAGGATTTTAAAGGAGCTCAACAACTGGGAGAAAAGAAAAAAAAGAGTGGACAATTCAGTAGCAATGCTGTTTGTATAGAAAAGAAAGAGGTACATGGGTAGTAAAATGATAATAGCGCAGAGATTTCTAGTTTAACTTGAGCATCATAATGGGAATATCATGCTAGTAAGGAAGAAGAAAATGGAAATAAAAAAAAAAATCTATAGAAAATGAATGGTCAAATGTCCACGGAAAGATTTGAAAAAGGTACCAGAGAGCACTGCAAAGTCTTGGCACAAGTATAACCAAAAGACAGAATGAGGAAGAAGGAAATAATATTGTCATTAAAACCAATATAACAGCTTGTCTCTTGCTAAGAGTTATTGAGAAACAGCCTGTTTCTATTCCTTTAATGTTATTTTCTTAAAATAATTAAAATAGTTATTCAGGGTAATTGAATACTGAAAGATTATTCAGAATAATGAAGCAGTTTTGCAAGTAAGAGTTGAAAACCTAGTGAACGTATTAAAATATCTATTTTTAGATATCTGGGAACGTATCTGTAAAATAAGTCTAACTAATGAATATGTAAAACTAAGACAAGGATTAACATACTCTGCACAGGAGTCAACTTTCCTGTCCCTTCTGGAGTGCAGCAACAATAGATGCTGGTTAGCGTCTCCCCAGAAATATAAATGTGCTTGAGTATATATAATTAAGAATATACATATATATGTGACTTTTTTTCAGATCTGAGCATTAGAAAGGCTAATTCTATTGAAAGGTCAATTCAGTTCTATCCTTGATTCCAACAGGGACATTACTTAGTTCCTGATAACCTACCACTGAGCAGCCAAAGTGCTGGTACATAAAGCATGAGAAATTGCATATCTGACCTCCAGCTTTCTGTCAACAATAGTGGAATTCTTGTGTGTTATCAAGCAGGCATGCACATTTGGTAAGGTACTTTCAAAAATCTCTCCCTGAAGAGAAATGCTGAAATCCTCTTTAAGAGAAAGAGACAGACACTTTCATATACACAAAAGGGGAGAAAATTCAAAACATAAATACTAAACAAAGATAACTTGAATGAGTTTCCTGCTGATGGGTAAATACCTTTATGCAACATTATGAACTGTGTCTTATTCTGCATCTATAATCAAAAAGCAGAAATCCTTTTATTATCATCCCCAGGAAGAAGATATGACATGTATTATATTAATAAAAAGGATGAGAAACTTAATCCCGAAATGATTTGCATAAAGTAGTGCAGTATACATGTATGGTACAGCATATACTGCATGCAAAGTATTTGATAAGGGAAAGATAACACTAACACAACAACTTAACATGACTAAACAACAACATAACACTAACAGAAAAAAGTATTAATCTTCATATGAAAAATTCTGACCAAAAATCTTATGATTATGATATAAATACAATGGACAATTTAATAAAAATATATTAATGTATTATATACCATTGAAAAATTATGTATATTCTTCCGCCACTTTAGTGATAAAATAATAATTGAAGAGAAACAGTCTTTTGGGGAATGCTGGTGGTTACACAGAAATAACATACACATTCTCTTTCACATTAAAAAGAGAGAAAAAAAAAATTAAAAAAGACATTAATATGTTCCATATCCTGAAGGAAAAAGAGATAAGCTAGTGTTGAATAGATAGCAAAAACACCACATTGGTAAAGCGCAGCAGTGATAATTCTCAGAAATGGTTCAGTTTAGTAACAGCAAACAAAGTCATTCACGTCTTGTAACGCACTAAGAAATCCCTGAGGATAGTTTAACATTCAGCTACATCACACAGCAGACATGCATGAACTGGAAGGGTACAGAACCTGAGGCCCTTCTGCTTTTGGATCACAGTTTTCTCCCCACCCCAGCTTCCCCCACAATAATAGCTGACTGAAATGATAAATGTCATCCTAAAAGGGGAATGATCAAATTTATAAACATACGTTTCCATCTCTACTGCTTCTTTGTCGCACAGAAATTTGACCATGAAATATAAAATATTGGCCATGACATTTGAAATAAATATGTTTGTACTTTGAACAACTTTGTCTGGTATTGTGATATAAATAATTATTCCTCCAACCGTCTATATCTTAAAAACTTGATTTATTAAAGACTATTCTCTCTCAAGTTATTTTTTCAAAATATTCCATGTTATTAAAAAAACAAAAAAAAATGTTTCATTTCTACTACAAGTTTAACTTAAAATATGTTGTGTTACCAATGAAAATTTAAGAAAAAACAGCTTCTTTTACCCAAATAGAAATTTTTGTTGTATTTTCACAAAAAATAAATGCAGCAACCACTTAATAATATTAAGCTTATTTTGAGAGATACATAGTTTGAACAGAAGAGTTCATTAATAATAATTAAACTCTTAGAAACATTGAAAAATAACTATTCAACAATCCACAAAAAATATTTCCATCCCTTTATCACTGGGTAAAACACACTCAAGGATCTCTCAAACCTCTGTCATCTAATGTCTTCTGTAGCAAAGAAGGTACCAAATACAGGTAATTGTGAAAAACAGAGGAAACAAGAGATGGCGAAGTGCAGACTCCATACAGTGGATTCCACACCCATTTGTTTGGGTTTTTTATCCTTTTTTTTTCTCCTCTGAGCTATTTCTAATTAAAGACGGCTCTCTCCCTGACAATAAGGCATGAGTTAAGACCTTGAGTTCACATTCTGCCTTCGAAGAAGAAGCTTAACATCAGTGAAATACACTTTAATCACAAGCCTATGTTGACTTTCTCATTTAGATACAAATCCTCTCCCCTAAAGCTCTTCATTATTTCTGATAACAAGTTTTCTCTCTTATAAACTAAATTCTCCATTAAATATTTTGTTTCTTTTACTTCTTACTACTTTACTTCAGCTCCTCAGCCCTTCACTTCAACTGCACAGAAATGTGCAATCTGCTTCACAAGATGCACAACATCCTGCTTTCCTTCTCATCACTCCACTCACATATTCTTTCCTCCTTCATTTTTCTATGTCATCCAGTTTTCCTTTTCTAAGACTATGTCCATTTTCAGACGCCCAAAGAAAAACTACAGAAAATTATGAAATAATAGAAACCTCTGAAAATATAATATCTATTGAAAAAAAGGCAAAAGTTTTACTTTGTGAGCTAATCTCTTGGTTTACAAGCTTAAAAAATGCAGAGTTGGCAATTGACACAAAAAAATATATATTTTCAGGAGCTGGAGAAAAAAAATTTAATCATAACCATTTAATGTAATGAACCAGATCATCCCGTGCGACATATATGGGATATAGAAACACTTCTTATATATGAAACCAATAATCTATTATAGTCTAACTGATACCATAAGAGTCTAATCAAAGAATTATTATCTCAGGTCCAATTACTGTAGAAAAGGAAGGGAAAAAAAAAAGCACTGCAGAGTTAGTATCAATGATAATAACAGTTGAAATTGTTATCCATACACTTCCCAGTGTCTTGCTTTTTGGCAATATGCTCACCCTTACCTTGTCACTCCAGTTTCTAAAGAATGTTTTGTTCTAGGGGAAGGAGAACAGTGAGTGTCTGGAGTCCTCTGAAGGGAGAGGAATAGTGCTGGTTGTGGGAGTTACTTCTCCTTGAAGCCTCTGATGATGATGCTAAGTTCTGTCTTATGTTGACTCTGCTTAGGGTCATTTTTGGATTTATTTATATATGTTTTAATCACAAATGGTCAATAACTTGTCGCTAGCAAATACAAACTTGTAAACTAAATAAAAGCAGTTTAGGAATAAGCTATGAGGAAAAGGTAACTAAGCATATATAGCTCATCTGAAAAACTGGTTTTTACTCAGTTACTGATAGTGTAACTAATGATGTATTAGCATAACCTAGTCCTTGTTTTGGGTCAATGGATAGGTTGTTGCTTAAAAGTAGCGGTCTATTAAAAACACTTATATGTTTAAACATATGTAGAGATAAAAAGGACTGATAACTTCCTGCTATTGCCATCTGCTTCTTACAACACTGTACTTATAAAATTATTCAACAACGGTTTACCTTTTAGGTCAAGTGCACTCTAGAACGCATGCAAAGTTGTAGTCTTCACAAAGTCTCACCACTAACTGCGCTTTATGTTAAGATCCAAGCATGTGCCATATCCATAAATTGCCTGTTATACATGGGAAGAGAGAGCTAGAGTGCATTTTTGTAAATCTGGATGTCAGGATGATTTGGAGACCAAGATGCCTGATAACTATACCTGGGCTTTCTAGAGATCACCGTACACAACAGTCCTCAAATTACAAATGTTTGTTTGTTGCTCCACTTCCTGAAAGAACTGATGCAGTATCTGAATATGAGTAACGTATTTCTCAGTCAATTACTACTTTTTTTGTTGTTGTTGCATACAGTAAATTATTTCTTCATCAATATGGTTTTCCATCATCCAGCCAATTTCAGCTTATTCAAGATACATTCATAAATATAAATGTAAAGAGAATCTTATTCACCAGGATTTCTACAGAAGCAGAAAAATTATAATAACATTAACTTCTAGCTCAAATATACAAACAATAAGATAAATTTAATTTCTCAGAAGATCCACTTATTTAATCCCTGAGAATAAAATAAGCATCAGATGGATTTTATTTTTCAAGTGGAATGAAAAGCAACTGTTTGGGTTTTTTTATTCGGTTAGTTTTTAAATTTGGTGTTGTATACTTCTTTAAGCACAGATTGAAGTATCCTCTTTATGGCTGGTAATTAACCAGACTTCTTTTAGATTATAACATACAGCTGACAAAACTACAGGCATCTGAACAGATATATTTCCTAAGTCGTTTGAAGCATGAGTTACTTAGGCTAGTCCTATGCCTTTGGGATTTGGTTTAGCTGACCTCTAGGCATTTCAATGATTGCATAGGATGCTTCACCATAACAAGCCTTTCAAGATGAAAGAGCAACTGTTCAGTTTGTCATTTTAATCCTACAGTGTGAATTAAAAGATTACTTCAGTAAAAGTTATTTTATATCAAACTGTCTTAATAACATGGACCAATGAGTAATTCTGAGGACTAGTAAAATATTATGCAATCATTCATATGAATCTTTAGAGCACATATATTATAGGTCTTTAACCCTTGTATTCCTCAATGCTAAAACATGAGTTGTGTCTCATGAACCTTGCAAAGAGAAAGCACAAGCTTACTTTTTTTCTTCTTAATGAACGTTTAATCAAAGGACACTTACTTATTTGTGGAAAGGCATGGGTAAGATTTCTAGTTTGTTTCAGATCTGAAATATTTTATCAATGTTAGAAAAGTTGATAATCCAGTAATCTTGAAATGTGCAACAAATTATTTACATATCTTATTAAAGTGAAAACATTGTTAAGGCATAAAAGGAATACATTTATGCAGAACTAAGAATTTTTGCTAATTAAAATTTTAGTAGTTTAATCAAAGTATAAAATTAATATTTTTATTCTAGTTACAGTGTTACTAACACTAAATATCATAAATTGCATTAGTACTACAGAAAAGCCTCACAAATAATACAATCTAAATTTTTACAAATGCATTTCCTGATATCTGTGATGACAATGAGAAACATTTGGGTCTTCGTGCCTGCAAAATGCCTTAAAATGCTGCTGGAGTCTGGGTCATTTGGGCAATCTGGTCTCCCGAGGCTGCAGGTAGCTTCAAAAAAAATGCTTTTGTTTACTGATTTCCTGCTAAAATTTGGTTATCTTCACCTATAACATCAGCTTAAAATTACAGGATACACGGTCTCCAGTCAATTAATACAAAGAACTAATACTTTTTACTTATTAATTGCATATGTTTATTTGATCCATAGTTTTCTAATAGTTTTAGCTATTACAGCAAATGTCTAATGGTCAGGTGACTCTTATCCAAGTGACTAGTTTAAAATTAATTACATGAATACATAAGTCAAATAAGCATGATCTGCATGTCCTTTTACAGCATATTAAACATGTGTCATGTAGTTAAATTCACTGCATACAAACAGTGTCTGGGATTCAATACTAAGAAAGAAAATACATTGGGAGGGAGAGAAATAGCTAGGAGAACTTATTTCCTAGAGAAAGGAGATGCCATTCTTCAAACATTCTGCATTCTACCTATGTACAGGCAGGATGGGGTTTGTATTTTAATCGCTGCCTGTTTTTCATAAAATGAAAGCCAGGTCATACAGTAGGAGTTGCAGAATCATCTGAATGTAAGCTTACATCAAAATGTCATCTTCTTAAACCGGAGAAATCCTCGATTTTTTTTCCCCATCATTAGTCACTTACAAGACAGGAAAGGAAGTATTCCTCCTTCCAATGGCCTATAATCTTAGAATGCTGCATTGTTAGGTGGAAATTGTGGGTATGAGAAGAACAAAGAAACCTGATGACTCACTTTTGTCTTTGCTTTGAGATGCCTAAAAATATAGAATACTGTTTAAAAAGAAGAATAAATTTTGTGAAAATCTTAATACATTTCTTAGAGGTAATCTGATAATTGATTTATCTAGCCGATAGAAGAACACAAAAAATATAGTCATAATTTTGTTCAGAGATGCTGTGTGTTGTGGCACATTACTGAACTAAAGTAATGTGTGAACGTGTTTATGTAGTCAATCTGTTTAAAGATTCTAATGAGACTTTATATATTGCAAGTCTGAATTACTTTTTTTGCACTATGTTGAGGATTCCCTTCCTTTAAAGTGTGTCCTTTTACTGTATCCATGCCTCTTTTGCACTTTTTCACATCCACGCTAGCCATTTGTATCTTCTTGTGAATTGCTATTCAGATATGATCCAAAGGCAACTAACAGGTCTCCAAGAATATCAGACATTTTGTCAAATAAACTAAAATTTCATAACCACAAAGTTATTCTGCAGAAAGAGCTGTATACTTCTCACATTATGTTTAATACATTTTTTCTCAGTTAAACTCAAAGAATACGAGATTAGATATTTATATTTTTCTGCGTTTACCTAAGAAGAGACAAAAAATATCAGGATACTTTAACATTAACACTAGTTATAGTCAATTTTCACTGTCTTAACAATATTTTAACAAAATTTCATTACAGCCTTTGGTTGCAGAAATTTATCATCTCATCTGATCTGTGTTACTACTAATGCATATGGTCTACAGAAGGAACATTCAGTTGAACAAAGTGTTCAAGTGTTCATACAAATCTATAGCAAAATATTTACTTCAGTTTGCAGAAGACTTCACAAAGTACATCATCACTGTTTCTGGGAAAAGTTTGGAAAACATTCAGTAAAAGAAGGATCTTTAAGGTAGATACTGCTTTTCTCTCTCTTTTGTGTTTGTTTTTTTGTTGTTGTTGTTTCTCCCCTCTCCCCACACCCATTCTCCTCCCCCCAGCCCTAGTTTAGCTGCTCAGCTGTGAGAGCCTTAAATGGTGTTCTTTTATCATGTAAAATGGACAGATGGATGAGACCTTTTCAAACAGAGATAAGAGCAAGGAAGTTAGCAAGAGAATTGTAATGAAGGGATATTTCCTTCTATAGATGAATAGACTCAAAATTACACAGAAACAACAAAACTGATGAATTTATGATATTCAGCTTTCCTGTCAAATCCATATTTGTTGTTCTTATACTGCTACTGGTAATTGAACATAATGATTTATCTTGTATTTTATTATCCAAATAAAATAAAATTGTTTTTTCATTGTACAAATACTGTTCTAAGGGTATTGGCATACGTGAAGTCAAAGTTTTTATTGTGTTAACACATGCTTTTTCATGAACACAATGCATATGATGAAATGATTACTTAGCTATTTTTCAGTTCTTTATAAAATGGGAAATTATGTGCAGTGAGGGAGAACATTGAAACAGGCAGAATCAAGATCTCTACAGATAGACTGCTCAAGTATGGTGGAAATCATCTTTCTGGCGGCCACAATCATCTTTCTGGTCTATGTATATTAAAAATACTTATAGTTAGACATTCACCTTCTTTGACTTCCAGGAAAGAACATATAAGATATTATTGAGCTTATTCACATGGCAACCTCGTCTAAAAAAGCAGGCATCTCACTGATTAGTCCTGCTTTCTTCACAGCATTTTTGAATAGCACAGAAAGACTGCTGAGTTCTCCCTTCCATTAAAAAAAAAATCTGTATTTCTTTATGTCTATTACAATTTGGATTTTACACTAGTCTGGCCAACTACTTACTAAAAGTGAATACAAAAACATCTTTTTTCACTAGGCTTATGTTATATAAGTTAGTACAAGAGAAATGTAAATAGTCTTTTTTTCCCCCACGATATCTTTTGTTACACTTAGAAATTGAGCTGCAAAAAAAGTTCAACTATGGTTCCTAGGTAATGTTTTTAGTCTCTTAATTTATTTGGAAGTTAATTGTATATATATATATACATATATATACACATATATATACATATATAATCAAACAAAACCTCAAATCTTCTCATGTAATCATTAAAGCCTTGTTTCAGAACTAGTATAAACTATGGAAGTAGTTCAAAATTTCTAGAGAATCTGTCCAGTAAGTAGTTAAAATAGTACCTGAATAACTTAGCCCTCCAAAGTTTCATTTTGAGGTAAGGGAATTTTACATTTTTTTTATTTATTTACTTTGGTTATATATGTGTCCATTTTTCCTCATTCTTGATAACCTAAATTTCTCTTTGTAGTTAAGAAAGAGGTACAACAATTAAATTGATTCAAGAGTCATCCACTGCACATACAGACACACATGCACTCTGGTAATTATGTACCTCTATGAGCTATAGTACACCCCAAAAATAGTACACCAGAGGTGGGATTCACCTCACTGAACTCTACTATCCTACAGTAAAGAATCCCCATCTGAGTTGGCAGTTTAGCCTTCCATTTAATTTGGCCTATTTTAGCTATCTATTTTAAGATGAGATGAACTGAGCCAGTTACCTTGAAGAATGTATTAGAGGTACACAGGGAAGAAGACATTCAGCTGAGGCAATACAACCAAAAATTAGGCAGGGCAAAATTAGGAGCAAATGCATGAATTACCTTCACAGAGCTAGGATGTTTGTCACATAGGGATGCCTTAGGAAATACCTCATAAATACCTCCATAAAAAATGGATTAAACATGCCTCTCCCTGTTCCCTTAAAATTTGCATTGTAATACGTACTTATGCAGGTTATGTAAATTTGATTAGGACAGCTGAGTTTTCAGTCTGTATTTTCCACGTTATTTTTTCAGTTTTTTTTTTTTAAATACATT